TCACATCGTAGGAACTCTCAACATTCTCATCAATGCCCTGTCACATAGCCCAATCAACATGAGCAGCTGTCCCAGAGAAATATAGACCTTAAAAAGTAGCGATTGGTTGACATGAGAATAAATTATGCCATCTGCAAGAATTATAGGCTTCGACGCTGCTACGCTTTATGTGTTGAAGAGTCGTTTGCCAGTAAGAGGAGACGTATTGGCTTTAGAACATTCCGGCGACCCAAGCACTGACCATTTATGCTCACTTGCAAGCACAATTAGGCATATTGGCAAAACTAGACTGTCTTTCACACCCAAGTACTCTGGAAATATAAAGGTTTCCCCAGGCAAATACACCTAAGTTTTATAGCCTCACGTGAGTGTACGTACCACCTGTGTCGAGTGCTTTCCAGCACTTCAACAGTCAGTCACATTGTGACATTGCTGGAGATGTTTGCAGGCCCAACCACATCATTCAGTGACATTTCTGAGGACGTTATCGTGCTGTTGACTATACTGCTGCCTTGCAAAACACAAACTTTTTGGCTTTCATTGATTGCATGATTCAGCGCTGGGTTGAATATAATGTTGCTCCAGACATTACTAAGTTACGCACTGTTGCTCCTGCTTTTGTAGCTGCTGGCTGCATCACTCATGTCATTCTTGGTCTCAACAGATAGAGAAAGCCAATATAGACCGACACTCCCTACCTCCCGATAAGCAATGGAATTAATGGAAATTGTATGCAGGACATGCAAGCCAGACATACATTGCAACACTTGGAAGCTTCCTATAGGCTTGACCGTAGATCTGCCTAGTGACCATTTTCTTTGAATCTGATCGACACGAAGCCAACCTTCTTACCAATGACTACACATCTCGTCTAGGTCACATGATAAAAAAGCTTCTACATATAGCTGTGTAACAGTGCATTGGAAGGCACATATGCTAGCAGTGAACTTCACTCATGTGCATGCATGTATAATGGAATGATAAGGGCTAACCATCTCTCAGTGGTGTCATGCTGCCAACTTTAAAAACCTTTCTCTCAAGTACCTTTTACTGAAGATTTATGAAAACAAAACAGATAATTTACTGCCTTGCAGAAGTCATCATCAGTGCACAAATTGCCTGAGACAGCAAAAATATCCCACGTAAATAGGATCAATAAACATTCCCCACAATGGCATGTTTAAAATTGCATGTCAACTGGTTTTCAAGCCAATCTAGCTAGTAAAGCCCTTGCCAGCATCATTTCTTTGGGTAAAGTGAATTTTTTGTGTTTTATGCATTTGTTTTGTATTTAAAAATAATTTAGGGGCGACAACAATGTTTCACTGAGTTTGTAACACCTGAGTTAGGATGACTACAAAAGTTATTGAATACCAGCTGTAATGTGATCATGTGATTCAGCAAATTTGTGCTTTGTATGGGTTTGCAAATCTGCTAGTTCTGGAGTGCGACAAATAAAAGTGAGAAAGTAACTTCAATTTTCCATTGCCTGGTACTTATGCTCAAGTGCTATGAAAATTAAAGTGTACAGTCGTGTTTCTTGTGAGCTTCACAATGCACGAGACCTCCCTTAAAGAAGGTTCAGGCTTTATTCTAAATACCTCAATATTCCATCAGTTGAAATAAAAGACGGCGCGGTCTTGCATCGATAGCTTTGTTTTACTTATACACCAACAAGGTCGTAGTTGCAAGTCAAGCCTACTTGTCTTTTCTAACTAATTCATATCATACAAGCACTGAAGGTAAAGCCACATTTGCAAATATGAAAGATTACATGGTGCATGTGCCCCTGAACAGCAAAAAGCAATGATCACGTAACCCATGTGAGGAGTACTGTGAACCCTGCCGTACATCTTGATCATAACTCTGACATGGTTTAGTAGTACAAATATAGGAGCCGGAAAGTTTGATAAGGACTGAAAGAATAATTCGGTATAGATTCATGATAATGGAACAGTACGACAAAGAAGAAAAAAAAACAAGTGAGCCACAGAAACACAAGCACCGATTCACAGCTGAGGTTTATCCAACATTACAGAACATATATATACAACCACATGGCTATACGCAAAATTGATCAGCAATACCCAAAAACAAAAACAAGTTGTACACTTGGTAAAGGATTTTGTTTACCCTGCAGTGTAATAGAAGGAAAGATGATACATGATGATTTGTCATTTTGACTGCACCTTTTCAGTTAGTTTTATTATTTTTCGAACCGTCATCACAGGACAACTCTGGAAGTGGTGCTCGCACAGCTGACTCAATAGTTTTTTTCTCTTCTTTGTCACGCTGGTCTAAAAACCAGAAAGCTTACTGGATCTCAAAACTACATTTAGTAGTTCTTTCCCTACTTTTTTTGGGAAAATCCACTAGTATGCACTCTCTTCGGCTTCACTGTTGCCATAATTTTAAATAATGTATCTGCTGCCTGATTACTTCTTTTTTCAGTTAGCTCTAGCTCACTGCAATAATTCTATTTAGACTCCCGGCAGCTTTAGTGTATTGAGCTGGATTTGTCGCTGACATTAAGTAAATGCAGCTTGTATTCCTGCAGTTGACTGAGTCAAACATAAAGCAAGAATACAGTTAGCGATGACATTTCTCACATCGAAAAAGTTATTTGGAGCAAGGTACATGATTCGATTTTAACAAAGGGCATGTAAACTGAGGAACATGTGAGCCTTATATACATTTATAAAAAACATGTGAGCCGTGTCTTCCTGGGGCCATGCAAAAAGCACGTTAATCGTCATTCTCTGATCAGCTTTCAAACTTACTTTAGCGTAAGCAAGACTGGCTATATCCACTCACTGCATGTAGAATGATAGCAGAAAAACAGTGCAAATGATCTTTATATTATATAGTGTCATTAGAGCAACAATTTGATATTTTATTTTTTAAAAAAATTAAACGCTACAATAATTAGGAGAGATGCCAAAGCTTCTATGCCTCTTGTACTGATATTTATGTCTTTCTTGCCTTTCATTGAGCCCAACTACTACACCAACTTGTCAACGTGAATATAACAAATGGCTCAGAAGTAAAAGGTGGTGAAAGGTGACCATGCTGGTCATTGCTCATTTATTCGAAAAATACAGTCTGCATACAGCCACACCTTGTGTCTTCTGGCTCTTTTAATTTGAATCTATATACCTGGAAGCAGAGCCTTTTAACCACGTAACAGGAGCTTGGTGTGTGCACACGCCCCTGTTTCACGTCATGGCAAGGGACAACAGGTCATCGGAACATTCTTAACTTGTATTGGAGATCAAGATTTTGGTTGGTCATGTTGAGTTGGAGCCAGTGGCATTCGGTGTTCAAGAATTCTAGCGGTATCCCCTCTAGCTTAAGTTCATGGTTGATGGTTGACGTGGGCATTGTGCCACCATATAGTGTGCCATCATGTCTCGTCCACTTGCAGTGAAAACTTTTGAGGGTTGGTTCAAAAGTTTTACTGAAGCCATTGGTAGTAATCTAGGTCCAAGTGTCTTCCATCGGTGCATAAAAGCCGGTTTTGAGTAATGACTTTCTTCTCTATCAGTACCTTCAGCATTCGTGTATTTCTTTTAACGTTCTCGTGCAAAAAAGGCATTGAAGGTAGGTTTTCATGACTTTTTAGAGCTGTTGTCTCAGTTTTAGAGATGTTGTCTCAGTCAGGGCCACACAGCTTCCTGTTGCGTTATGATATTTCCCTTCGTAGGATTGCCATTTGCGTGCTTCTTCAGTACTTTGTGCTATCATAATATTTGGTATTAGCAGCTGCTGATTGTCGTGTTTTACTGGTGTTTCACATACATCTCGCTAGCTTCATTTGAAGAAAAAGCAAGAAGCCAAAGTAAGGTGTTAACATTTGCTTTGACATTTCTATTGCTCTTATGGTGTTTTTGCCAGGGTAGGTGCAAGGATTGTTCTATACCGGGGGTGCACCCACAATAAGTGAGGTACTTGAGTGGGAGCAGAGAGGTGGGAAACTTGGCCATTGTGTGATGACTATTTTCCCACGAAGGATTATAGCTATAACCCATAGTCATAACACAACACGGCAGGCAGGTGAAAATGGGGGGGGGGGGGGTGGCTCCAGTTTCTCTGTACCTGCCCCGGGCACCACCTCCAATTTTAGCCTATGTCACTTGACTGTGGACGACCTCGTGTGACTGCTCTTCGTCTTGCACTCTTTTTTTCTCAGTTACTTACTCGCCTTAGCAGTTGAAGACGGTTCATGCGATGAAGATAAACCTCTTTCGGTTCTTGTTTTGCCGTTTGCTGATAGCGTATCTTCAGTAACTTTTCTCAGTGTGTCATTAACTTACTTGATTGGAAAATCAGCAACGTTACAACTTTTAACTCTCAGCAGGTTTTATGCACCGCAAGAGTAATCCCCACTCCTTTCTTCGGCTCATATGGTGGTTTTGGGACGTTAAACCCCACTTAGCGATCATTCCTTTCTCCGGCATTACGTTTCGGATGGTTGGCATACCACTACTTTACCTCTCAGCTGATGACTGTTTTGTAAGTAGGACTTTGGCGTGGCTGCCTCATGATACTGGATGCAGTGCTCACTTAGCCAGCCTTGCTGACGCAGCAGAAAACTTTAAAAGTGTGGACTAATCACTGTCAGTGTCACTGTCACTGTCAATTCACTGTCAATAAATGTGTCAAATTCAGATAGAACAATCACAAGGCACTCAATAATAAATTCCAAATAAGAAAATTATGTGTTGTGTGAGCTTCAGCAAGCCATTACAATTTCTATGAAATTGAATGCTTCATCATTCTGCTGCGTGTTATACTTAGTTTTTATGCAAAAGAATAAAATCACAAGCTCCTGAGGTGTGTGCAATCAGTTTTTTATTGCAATAATTTTGAGACAAGAAAAGCAACACTCAACGTTGGTTTTGGAACACAATTTGACTGACTCATCAAAGATAACAGTTCCTTCACTAGAGTAATCGGCTATGGTTGTGCGCAGCAGACTGAGGTCAAGTCAAGACATACTGACTAAGAAGAATATTCAGTTCATGTAACGAATTATTTTTTTTACTCTTTTTTGAGAACAAGTTGACACAGGACGCATAAACAAATTAGACACACAAATGTAGCTACGGCTGCTAAAGGTTTTTTTTTGTTTTTTAGAAAAATATTACCGTTTGTAAACATAAAATCGCACGAACTTTGAGAAAACGCTTGAACATGGGCCATAGTCTTATAACCTGTGATAATGGCGGAACTTTGTGTGTTGAAGGGATAGGGGGATGACGTCCTTGGCCTTCCATGCAGGAAGTCGAGTATGTGTGATTTGGTGCTCGGTAGCCCATTGCTGAAAATTTCAGGAGTGGCCCATTTGTCGAGTGTCCCATTCTTTGGCTGCTTTACTGCATTAACTGTGAAGCACCCATCTTTGACTTTTGTGCCTTCAGTGGTTCATCAATTAAACTGCCTCTCTGGTGGACCATTTCAGCCATTACTAATACAGATAAGCCTAACATCTTAATTTGCATGTCAAACTAAAAGTGAAAAAGGTTGTTGCAGTTTCAAAAGTCTTGAGGAAAGATGTTCATATAAGACATGAATATGAACAAAAAGGAGAACTTCATGTGTGTAGAGCAGTTAAGTCACAAAGATATAAAGTGTGAGAAGAGTGATATGCACCAGCTACTTTGGCCTACTGAGCCATTCAATTACGCTTGCTTTTAGTTTTGTTTGACTATCCGACTGATTATAAGACCTCCTGAAGACACATTCACCACAAAATTGCACGCAGGCTATGTGATAAGTAAGACAATGAACTAGTTATTTGCTTATCACAACAGTCATTTTTGCTCTTCTACACTGAGTCTTGAGAAAGGAAACTAAAAATGTTAATACGGAGGTAGATTGAGAAACGCTGTAAAAAAGAAATTTAAAGAGCTCACATGCCAAAATGCACAGCTGCTGAACAGTCTTCAGTATTAAAGTCACTCACTATAAATTGTTGGTTGTATAACTGTTACAATCGTAGCTTCAAAGATTTATTCATAGATATTGCCTTTCGGTTTTGAGGACCAGTCCTGACACCAGCTGTCAACTAATTTTTTTCATTTTCTCACTCATTATTTTTCATTATTGACGGAACGTTGTCAATGCTGGCCCAACCTCGTTGTTCTATTTGGCTGGCACAGCTATTATTGACGCTTTTGTAAATCGTTGGCCATCTTGTGCCAAGAACTGCCAATCTATCCTCAACATTGGACTAAAGTTCTGTGGTGCCTAGACAGACAGGTTGGGCCGCATGGTCGTTTAAAGCCCAACAAAATGGCGATTTCTAAATGGGGGTATGAATTAAAGACTTGATATTGTGCCAAAAATTTTCGGAGCTGGCATGTCTAATCTTTATTACAATCGGCCAGCTTCACTTTCATTTCACGACCTCTTAAGACAACGCAAACTATGATCTCTGTCTTTTACATTGTTCGTAGTAGCACTGCAAGCGCTGCTTTGAATAAAACTTTCTTGGTGGTCACAAAGGACTTCATCGTTAATAGAGGTGAAAAAATCACAGATCTTTTTCTATTGAAGACACGTACAGTGCTTTTGGTTCGACAAAAATTGTTACAGTGGAGATAAGACTGCGGAACCATGGTGTTTATCTAAACTTTATAAGCCATTACCAGATGTAAACGTTTTTACTTTCTATAACGTCAAAAAGTCACTATTGGAACGTCAGTCTACAGCATATGGAGCCTTAGTGCAAGCTAAAAGGGGCTTCGTCTTAAGTTGAATCAATTCATTTCTTCGAAAGTCAGGTACGATGCTTTCGTTCTAGGTTCACTACTATGTGCTCTTCACACATGCATACAGTTCCGTTGCAGAATCCATCCTTGTGTCCAATATGCACGCACATATTCTCACACTCCAATTCGAAATCGGGACAATATACCGCCACATCTGCAAAAAGAAACGCAATGACTTTGCCTCAGCATGTTGACAAATAAACGCTTTTCAAGCAGCCTAAGTAGTTTTCTGTTCTAAGAAGGGCTACACGAGTTTTTCTGGTATAAATCATCAGAAAAAGCACAGTATTTTTGGGTGAATATAGGGAGGTCAGATGAAAGCAAACTTCATGGTAAAAACAATATACAATGCTGTAATACGGGTTATTTTTTTGTCAAACCACGAGTTTAAGCCTGAGGAGCGAGTTTAGAGACTTGGTGAGAATCGTGAATTCCTAGACAGCTTCCGGCTAAACTGGCGTTGTGTAAATTGTGGTGAAAACATTTAACCAGTACAACACAATCGTATAACGCCGACAAACCTGGACTAAAACTCACTTTTTTGGAGTTACGAAAAATAGCACCTGAAATTTCTCCTCTTCATAATTATCTGCCTGACTACGCCCACTGCAGAGCAGAGGCCTCTCATAATCCGCCAAATCAACCCTGTCTTGCACGTTCTGCTGTCACGTTATACCTGCGACCTTTTTATTCGTCTTCTGAGTTTCTTCTTATTCTTCTCTCCTTAAGCCTCGTACAACCTCATTTTGATTACATTACTTATGGGTTAGCAGCTTAGTCATTTCTCGCGGCAAAATGGTTCTAACCGAAGTTACAGTGCGCACTTTTCAAACTGACAAGGATTTTCTTGTTTCAAAAAAAAAGCTTATACAATGAGCCATGCATCATTGAAAATTATATGTAGTGATCCATAGTTTCACATTGTCAGTGAAGCATACTGGTGGGAAGCATGACACCTCGGCTGTGCCTCCCGTCGCCTGGTTATATATATTAAAATGGAGCTCAATAGGATGTATTGCGGCTTCAAAAATCACCAATTACAGCAGGTGCTCTGAACAGAGGCACTCTTGGTCCCGTTTTCGAAGTCAGTCATAGCACCCAGATATTTGAGAGCAAAAAGGAAATGTGGTTGTGTCTAGAACCAGAAAGCAAATGTTAAAACTCGTAAATAATAAACATGATATGGAAAAGTTTTAACTGCAGCCGTCCTTTCGTCACTCTCAATATGCTTACCAGGGAAATGTTTTTTTAGAGAAATTTACGTATATGTGAATGGCCAGAGTAATACACTGGTAAAAACCGATTTCAAAACTGGAAAAGCAATGTGTCAACCAGGAAGGTGCGGTATTTTTGTACTTACCGTACTGTAAACACTTACTTCTTTAACACCGTGCTAAGCGAACTTACCAAACCCAGATCTCGGAACGCCTTTGTGAGCACTCAGGCACCCTGTCCAAATAAATGCGTCAAACGAGTGAGACGGATCTGTGTGCCTAACGAAATACCAATAAACGCAGCTACACTATGAAAAAATTGGGCATAACCCACGTACAGTGAGAATCGACGATACGCGAAGTACGAATGAGAAATGTTAATATGTCGCTTTAAAATCAGCACAACGTTACGAGGTGGTGGTAAGTGATGCTGTACATGACTTCCGTGTCTTGATTATCATGTTTACATGTGTCGTTTATGTTCGTCATCTATTCAAGTCACGTGATAGCAGATTTAGTAGATGTGAAGCTAGCGAAACGGCCTCGAGCACGCTATAAGTGGGCACGGCGGCGTCGTAAAGATGCAGCCTTCAAACCCGTTCCTGTTTATCCCGCAGATTGGAACCCTGCTGCTTCTTCTAGGCCTTTCTGCAGCATGTGCGGAGCGACAACCAATGCTTCGACCTACTTTCAACGGCGATACGGATCTGCTGATAAACCCAGCCTCAACTGACGAACGCTACCGGTCCTTCAACGATGGCGCTGGTGTTACATCATCAGAGCCTCTGGGATCACCGATGACGTCACCATGTAACGATCCTTTAAAAGACAGCGCTTACGGCACAATCGGCAGTGGGCACGGCGGCGTCGTAAAGATGCAGCCTTCAAACCCGTTCCTGTTTATCCCGCAGATTGGAACCCTGCTGCTTCTTCTAGGCCTTTCTGCAGCATGTGCGGAGCGACAACCAATGCTTCGACCTACTTTCAACGGCGATACGGATCTGCTGATAAACCCAGCCTCAACTGACGAACGCTACCGGTCCTTCAACGATGGCGCTGGTGTTACATCATCAGAGCCTCTGGGATCACCGATGACGTCACCATGTAACGATCCTTTAAAAGACAGCGCTTACGGCACAATCGGCAGTGGGCACGGCGGCGTCGTAAAGATGCAGCCTTCAAACCCGTTCCTGTTTATCCCGCAGGTGAGCAGACGCTATGTCAAGTCATTTCGCAGTAACGATGTCTGCCTAATTCTGCTGCCGTGCCCACGGTCGCTTCGTGAAGCCTTTTGTAAACTGATTGTTTCCTTGCGCTTATTGCTACTGTTGAGCGGAGATGTTGAGTTGAACCCAGGCCCTGCACTAGACGCCATAGCCGAACAGTTAAAGCAAATTGCAGGAGACATTCAAGATATTAAGAAAGAAAATCCGCAACAAACACCAGACTTGACGCGATTGACAAAAAACTTGAAAAGATAACTGGCCTTGAAAAACAGGTCACTGAGTGCAATAAACGAATATCTAACTTAGAAAAAAACCTAAAGGCTATGCAAATGAAAGTGGATGATCTAGAAAACCGGAGCCGTCGGTCCAACCTTGTCATTTATGGTGCTGAAGAACAACAAAATGAATCGCCAGACATGCTTGTCGAGTTGGTCGAAAAGAAGATTTTAGATGGTGTGCTACAGATAAAAACCAAGGGAATCGAAATAATCCACCGTCTAGGAAAAAAGAAGCCAGTTGGTATATCTAGACCCAGACCCATTATTCTAAGACTACTCGATCATCGAGACAAAGTTTCAATCCTCAGACAGTGTTCAAAGCTGAAGGGCTCAAGTTTCTCTATCAGTGAAGATTTTTCTCGTAATACTCGGGACATCAGAAAGAAACTGTGGGATCGAACGAAAGAACACCGGGACAGGCAAGAAAGGGTGTCACTGGTGCGCGATAAAGTGCGAATCAACGGTCAACTTTTTGCTTGGGATAGTGAACGAGAAGATATAATTGCAGTGAAAAAAACGAAGTTGGCATAGAAAAAAGAGTCACTCGAAGTCGACAGAAGTAACCCTGTTGAATGTGAACGCACGTAGTCTTGTAAATAAAGTAGATCAATTCGAAGCTCTCCTTCTAGAAATTAAACCTGACATAGTTGCTGTCACGGAAACATGGCTGTACTCGGACATCCTAGACCATGAGGTCACGCCGCCAGGTTATGTGATTGTGCGCAAAGATAGAGAGACTAGAGGAGGGGGCGTGGCACTTTTTTTCAAGAAGGAATTGCGCTACTCTGTCTTACCGGGCAACCCTAGCATTGAAGCGGTGTGGTGCAAAGTGCAGCTGCAAAAGGGCTGTGTATTTGTTGGAGTTATTTACCGACCACCTAATGCTGAGACAAGTTATCTGGAACTTCTTCTGGATTATATGCACGATCACGTGACGGGTGGTATGATCATCATGGCTGGAGATCTCAATCTGCCTGAAATAGAATGGTCATCAAAAAAGTGCGAAGTGCTGCAAATGACGTCATATTAGATATGTTGTTCAATTTTAACCTCGAACAACTGGTGCGCGTCCCCACACGTGTACAGGGCGTATCCAGCTCTATTCTAGATGTTGTGCTCGTTAGTGACCATTTTCCAGAAGACCAGGCGCGCATCGAAATCTTAGACGGAATATCTGATCACAACTCAGTCCTATGCACACTGCCTCTATCTGGTCTTTCTAGAATCCATAGCCCCGGTAGACACGTTCTTGCCTTTAACAGAGCAGACGACGCAGCAATAATAACATATCTTAATCACGAATTTCTTGCCTTCTATGATCTTTGCATGGACAAAAATTTATCAATGGATCACATATGGTTACAATTCAAGGCACGTGTCATTCATTGCATTGAGAACTTTGTCCCCACACAGCGAAAAATTACAAGAAAGCATAATGCCTGGATCACACGTGACATAATTCATATAAAACGTAAAATCAGTAGGCTGAGGAAAGCTAGGTCTAGCTCACGAGCTGGCTACACCGCTCAGATCGCCACTTTATCAAGAACACTGAAAAGCAAAGTACGCTCTTCAAAAATTCACTATTTTGGTACCACGCTAGCAAAATTCATCAAAACCTCGCCAGGAAAATTTTGGCGCTATGTAAGTGGCAAACACAGTGGCCAAAACGCCTCCCCCTCGATAGACACAAAAGATAAGGCAGACAATTTCAACCGCTACTTTCAGTCCGTCTTTACGATCGATAATGGGCTAGTGCATCATCCCGAGATTAGGCCACCCACTGACAAGAAGTTATCTAAAACTCCGGAAATAACTGAAAGCGGTATACTGAATCTGCTGTTAAACCTCGATGATAAAAAGAGTTGTGGTCCAGATGGGATACCGAACGCTTTTCTCAAACGGTATGCGGAACCGGTTAGTAAGTACCTGCGCTTACTATTTACAAAATCTATTCAAGATTCGCAGATTCCCTCTGAATGGAAACTTGCAAAAATAATCCCAGTGCATAAATCTGGGGACAAATCGACTCCATCAAACTACAGGCCCATTTCTTTAACTTGCACTAGCTGTAAGCTACTCGAGCACATTATCCTTAAATTCATTACAAAGTTTGTCGAAGAAAATAACCTATTACACCCCAACCAACACGGTTTTCGGAGTGGCCTATCGACCGTAACGCAACTAGCTGAAACAATTCACGATCTGGCCGAAGCCATTAATCAACACTCCCAAATTGATATAATCTTTATGGATTTTTCAAAAGCGTTCGACCGGGTTTCCCATGAAAAGCTAGTTTTCCAGCTGGTTTGCAAACTCGGGGATGGGCCAGTGACCCGTTGGATATCCAACTATTTGTCCGGTCGCCAACAATTTGTACACTGCAGTGATCACGTCTCTGACACATTAAACGTTACGTCCGGTGTTCCTCAGGGATCCGTCTTGGCACCGATATTATTTCTTCTATTCATAAACGATCTAACAGTCAACATTAACGCAAACATTAGGCTTTTTGCAGACGACTGCATATTGTACAAACAGGTTAAAAGCTCCAGAGACCAAACTGAACTGAACGATGCCCTGAACGACGTTGTACGATGGTGTTCTAACTGGCAAATGGTGATTAATTCTGACAAACAGTCGCCATGCAAGTAACAAAAAGAAATCACGCCTACCTTTCCATTACGGTTACAACAACATCGTGCTACGAAATGTAAGCCAGTATAAATATCTTGGTGTGACTATAACTTCCGATCTCAGTTGGACAGTGCACCTAGAAAACATAGCCGAGAAAGCCTTAAAAAAATTATTCTTCCTTAAGCGGACGCTGCGCCACGCTGACCGCGACACTAAGCTTCTAGCATACGTCACACTTGTCAGACCAATCTTGGAGTATGCGAGCATAATCTGGTTTCCATTCACGGATAGTGGTATCAGCACGCTTGAAAGAGTCCAGCGCAAAGCGATTAGATTTATTTTTAACCGGTATCGTCGCCTCGACTCCCCAACACAATTACTACGCCACGCAGATTTGCCGACACTCGAAAGTCGAGCAAAAATTCATCGCCTAAAGTTCTTATACCTGTTATTGCACAACTGTCTTAAAATAGACCACGCTAAATACGTGAAAACCAAGACAACAAGGCAAACACGTCACACACATGATCACACACTCCAAGAGTACTCTTGCAACAATAACACATTCTATTATTCTTTTTTTCCTAGATGCATTCGAGAATGGAATGCTCTTGACCGACTTATAGCCGAACAGCGTACAGTTGATGACTTTCTAGCAATGTTGCAAAATACACATAGCACTTAATCAAAACGCTGATTACATAGTATGTATTGTATTTTCATTTCCTTGTGTACTTCCTTGAATTGACTTGCTTGCCAACATTTGTATTTGCACCAACTTTTACAGCTATGATTTATTATCCTTCTTTTCTTTTCAACGGGTGTAAAATATGTATAATGCGCCCACTACCACTTTAACTCGTTCATGCAGCCTCCTTAATTTGAACTTGTTGAGAAAGGCTACTCGGTCCAAAATTGATTGTTACTATTGATGTGAATGTTTCTGTTTTTCTTTGTTCCCCTTCGCTCCCACTCCTGTAATAACCCTGCAAAGGGTTAACAGTATGTGAAAATAAATAAAATAATAAAAATAAGCATGGTATCTCGTATTGTTCTTACTTGACACGCGTGTGAGGGTTATCCTGTTGGCACCA